TTTTATGAACAAAAAATTCATAATCCCAAAAATTTTATGCTTTCTTTTCATGTATGCTGATATATAATTAGGAAATAACTTTATATACAATTATTTATCATTCTATTTGAATAACAATAATATTGTTTTTACTATAGATAAAGAATCTATAGAAATACCTATAGTAAAAAACTATAAACATATATGTGATTCTGATTTTTGACCTGAAACCAAGAAAATATAAATTAAATCAATTAGTAAAACACACTGATTATATAGAATATTAAAAGAAATTTTTTGTGAGAAACCATTAAAATTATGATCTAGAAGTCCTTATTTTTGTAGTCTAAAAATTCTTGATTCAAAAAAAATAATTAGGGTAAAACCAATGATCTATACTAAACAAAATATAGATGAATTTGATGTACAAAATCAACGAACTTTTATAAAAATGACTTATAAAACCCATTACTAGTCCATATACAAGTCCAGCATTATGGTAAGAAATCATGCTAAACAAAAAAGAAGACAAGCCATAATGGTACTCAACTATAAATGGCTTAATCAAAACTTAATATTTGATGGATACTTTATTCTTAGAAAAGATGTATTAATAAACTCAACAAAAAATGCTAAATATTTTAATAAATTTAATTGTAAATCAAGATTTTGGCAAATAATGCTAATCGAAAAGTCAAAACCATTGACAACATTTAGTGCACCAAAAGGTTATTATCAATGGAAAATCATGCCTTTTGGACTTTTTAATGCTCCACAAATTTTTCTAAGATGGATGGATACCATTTTTGAGAAATATAAAGATTTTTGTATAATACATATCGATGATATACTTATATTTTGGAAACATTAAATGAGCATAGGAAACATCTAAATATTATAGTTCAAGAATTTATAAAACATGGTATAATATTAAGCCTTAAAAAGATAAACTTTGAAAAAACTAATATAGAATTCTTAAGATTAAATTTATCTTCAGATGATCTTACTTTACAAAATCATATTATAGTAAAAATTAAAGAATTTCCAAAACAATTGGAAGATAAAAAATAACTTCAAAGTTTTTTAAGTCTTCTCAATTATGGAAGACAATTTATTAAAAATCTCTCTATAAAAAAGAAGGTTTTACAAGAAAAACTAAAAAAAAGGATATACCTTTTTTTTTTTACAAAAGACGATTCTATTATTATTAAACAAATAAAATCATATCTTAAATTTATACATAAAGTATATCTTCTTAAATTAGGAGAATTACTCATTCTTGAAATAGATGTTTCAGACCAACATTGGGGATGTGTATTTAAATCAAAGGTACACAATAAAAAAAAATTTGTGGTTACAATTTAGAAAAAAATAAATGTAATGAAATAAAATATATTATTTTTGCAAAAGAGTTGTTAGCAATAAAAAATACAGTAACAAGATTTCATATTTATTTAGTACCTGAAAAATTTATTATTAGAACTGATAATCAAGCAGTCAAAAACTTTTCAAAAAATAAGATGTTAGAAACTAATTCTAGAAAGATTAAATGGTATAATTTTTTATTTAATTTATTAAAGGATCTAATAATATTCTTGCTGATTTTTTAAACAAACCAGATAGATAGAGACAAAAAATCTCTTGAGCAATAAAGACAATGGATCACCATTTAGAATAAGCAATCTAAATAAAATATATTTTTTCAAAATCCTAATCCAGGTAATCGTATCCTACTTTAGACCACCAATTCCTTGTCCTAATCTAGGATATCTTTATTCTCTTCAAACATATTTTTTTCTACAACTTTCATTACAATTAGTAATGCAACCTGTTCAAGTCCCCTATATTTCTCAATTTTTGCAAAATCCAAACTAATGAACACCTATTTCATATTCTGAAGTCCTCAGAGAATTGAGGAATTGCTTAAACCAAGGTAACCTCCTCTAAAAATAAAATATTTTTATAATCTAGATTTACCCCCTGAATTATATAATATACTTAATAATGTATGGAAAGCCCATATATTTGAAAACAAAACTAATTTTAGAAGAAACATGACAAAATTAGCACAAGTTCTAGCTAATCAACAAGCTTGATTTTAAGAACTTGTATTCAAAACAATGTGTACAAATAACTTGCTAAAAGAGCAAGATCCAGACTTTTTTGCTATTAATGAAAATCAATACTCCCTTGAAAAGATCAATAATTTCTTGAAACTTTTTGAATTCTTGACACTTTTTAAATTCTTTGAAAAACAAATTTTTCTTCTAAAATATTAAAATTAAAAAAATTTTAATATTTGAAAAAGCTGTAATTCTCTTACCCAAAGAGATATTTCAAAGAATAAATAGTATTATTCTGCTTGAAATAGAAAAATTATTACAAAAAAAATTTGTAGATTATCATTCTCAGAAAGATAATTCTATGATATATCTTAAAAATACTGGAATAAGAGAACTTTTTCCAAAAATAAACTTTAGACTTGGATCATGAATCATTCGATATAATAAGTATAGAAATTGAATTAGTAGGCCAAATAGTTGTGCAAAAATTTTCTTTTCACTTGATAAAATAATTTCCTACTTTTATTAAATCAAAATTTATTGATTTCATAAAAAATTTTCAATATTTTTATTATATTCATTTTAATATTACCAGTCTCTTAGAGATTTATCAAAAAGAAAGGTTTATCCACCCTTATCAAATATGAAAAATTCAAAAATTGATGGGTGTACCTCTTCTTGAAAAAATCAATAAGAATTTTGAATAGCTTAATCAAGTTTTAAGGAAGTTTTCATCTTCCAATCAATACCAATTCCAAATAAGAATATCTATGATGAACAAAGTAAAAACCTTGCATTGTGAAATAATAAAATCTTGATATCCTTAAGTTTCTGCTTCAACTAACAGCCATAGAATATTCATTCAAAGATCCTACAATGAAAGAAAACTGCCACCAACTGAACAGAAAACAATGAATCTTTTGGAACAATTATAAAAAATGAAGGACATAGACCATCTTCAACATTTATTATTTCAATACAAAGAATGATGGAACATTTAGAACAAAATCAAAACCAGTTCTCTACAATCATTCAATCCAGATGATGAAAAATTAATAAATCTTGATAATATTCAAGAATAATAAGACATCATGCGAAATCAACATCAACAAGATATGATAAGGCAAATATATTCATTACAAATTATTGTCATCTTTTGAAAAAGTCAAAAGTTACCTTTTTGTCAAAATTAAGTATTGACAATTAGTTTCATTACTATTATAGGCATTAATTATTTACCTACCCTAATTAATGAGAGGAAAATTGTATTATAAAGTACGATGGAATAAAGAGGAAAAGCAGAGACTCCCTTCCCCTCTTAGTTTCTCATTCTACTTTTTCTCTTATATATTTTTCTCACACTTTTCTCATCTGTAAAATTGTCTCTCACCAAATGGATAGAGGTAAAAAAACCTCTTGAACAACAGTTTTTTTGTTTAAATATTCTATAAAATTTTATTGTGGTATAGGTTCCATAACAGTTCCATAAGATGTTCCTGTTTATTTGATTTCATCTTTATAAATATACTTTTCGATTCCATCACCAAACCTATTTTTATCATCAATTTCTTGATTATAAATTCTTTCTATTTTTCTTTTTTCTCTATCAATTTTTTGTTGATCAAGATCCATAGGTGTAGGCTTAGTATCTATTTTTTTATCTACTTCTTCAAAGGATAAAGATTTTGTACTACTTGTTTCATCTTTTACTATTGGATTAGTAGTTAAAATTTTTTCTTTTCCTTTATCTTCTTCATTTGAGCTATTTTCATCAATAATATCATAATTAAGCATATAATGATAATTAAACCTTTTAAAAAGTTCTATATGTATTTCATATAGTTCTTCTATCATATTTAAATAATTAATCCTTTTTTTAAGATCTATGACTTTTTCATTTTATACTTAAGGTATTCTATAAGACTTTTATAGGATTTAAAATCTAATTTTTTTTACTTTAAAAAAATTAAGTGGTCGAGAATGTAATGGTTTATCATCATTAAGAGTAAAAATAACATTATCATAATATAAAAGTCTAAAGTTATTTGTTTGACTTTTATCAACTTTTAATAATTTTAATTTTTTATTAATATTTACTAATAGTTGTTTAGAATCTTGATTTAGACTAAACTAGTCACTTGTTTTAAATAATCTATTTTTATTCTAATTTATCAGTTTTATTAAACAATTTTTTAAAGAAAATAGTAGATAAATCTACAAATCCATTAAAACTATGACTGATTACTGACATATGATTTTTTAATTAAAGATTTATATGTAAACTATAATTATAAAGTTTTTCTGAACAAATATAGTAGAGAATGGACACTTGGCTAATCTAGAACTCAACATTTTTCTCTTTTTTAAAGGAAAATAAAAGATAAAAACTCTTCTTTTAAAAAAATGCTAAAATGTATTAATTTTTATAATTAATACGTGACAATATGAATGAAACGTAGTAATAGTTATGTTACTAAACCTAAACTCTTATTGCTAAGAATAATTAAATTGATTCATTTTCAATCAATAAAGGCATGTGACGACTGAATTGACTACATTTTCCACTGGTCAAAGATGGACCACTTGTTTTTGGGCTCAAAGTTCTGGTGGGGCACACATCATAGTCAAGATTTTGAGCCATTAAATTGGCGATAAATCACTTTTTGAACAATCTAAATTAAAAAGACATAGCTAGGACTAAACCCAAGAGCCCAAGGCTTAATACAGGCCCACTCAGGCAGAAGGGTGTTCATGGAACATAGGTATAGGTCCATAACCCATTTTAAAAAAAAAAGATAAAACAATCTTTATCCACTTTGGAGATTAACCACTTTTGATTCCATTTTCATCATGAAGTTCAAGCATTTTCAAAAGTCTTCAGTTGGTGAGAATCAAGCTCTTAACCTTTTTCCTAAACCGTTAAAAAGTAGAAAAGATGCAAAATTAATGTTGTTCAAAGAAGCATGTTTAAGAAGGAATGATAAATCCAATTCACTCTAAACTCATTTTTATTAGATGCTTGCATAAATCTACTCATACAAATGAAGCCATCATCCAAAATATGGAGAAAAAAACATAACACTGAAACGGCATCTACAAATAGTTTACAATGCCCCCCAAACCTTTCCGAAGCTCTAATTTCCTGTAAAATAACTATTTTGGTATGGTATGACAAAGCCAGCAATCATTACCCTCGACGCAACTTACTGTTTTGTGAACATCCCTTGTGTCAATGATGAAAAATCATAATCCTTTCCTGATTGTGAAGAATTTCCTGACGGAATTGGGGAAGCTGATTGAGGCTTACTTGCTCCGGTGGTTGCAACACCATTTACAGGGGTAACTTGCCCGAATGCATAAAAGCTGCAAGAAAAGATGCAGCAAAAATTAGGAGCATGAAGCAACTTATGGGTAAAATTTCTAACCTATTGAATACTTATTTTATCAGAACACATTCATGGCAAAGTAGACAGTACTACGGGAGAAACGCATCGAATGAAAAGAATTGAACTTTGACAAAATCAAGCATAAAGAGATTAAATATGTACCTCGATGATGGATTAGCAACAGAGTTTCCCACTTGCTGTGTCTGTCCCATTTTCATTGTCTAGTACAGTGGAAAAAAGAAAGCAAAAATTAGAAACTTGCTAGATATATTTCTTTAAAGGAACAATTGCAACTACATTTTGGAGTCTACCTGCATAAATTTCTGCAGATCAGCCTGCCCAGCAACTGGCACCATCATTCCAGGTATTTGATAGCCAATGTTTGGCCAAGTTTGAGTGGGTATGCTAGTGCCGGTGGATGGAGGCTGTTGAGTAATTCCAGGAGCAGATTTAGCTGCAGCAGCCATGAGAAGGGACTGTTGCTGTGCTAGGAAAGCTAGTTGTTGTTGAATGGGTATGCTTGTGCCGGTGGATGGAGGCTGTTGAGTATTTCCAGGAGCAGATTTAGCTGCAGCAGCCATGAGAAGGGACTGTTGCTGTGCTAGGAAAGCTAGTTGTTGTTGAGTGGGTATGCTTGCACCGTTGGATTGAGGCTGTTGAGTATTTCCAGGAGCAGATTTAGCTGCAGCAGCCATCAGAATGGACTGTTGCTGTGCTAGGAAAGCTAGTTGTTGTTGATGCATTGCAAAAGGTGACACCATATTGGACTGAAATCAATTCAAACCATGATTTTAACCCCAGCAAAGAAAAAAAAAAACACGTACAATGCATACTGATGTTCATCAAGAATCATGTGAAAATGTCAAAGAATAGTCTGATTAGCTCCAACCAGCAAATGATCAAGTGATATAAGTTTTAGTTTTACACCAAGCCTTCCTAAGATGCAAGTAAATGACGTTGAAGATATACCTTTTCAAAAAGGCTCATAATATCATTTTTCACATCTTGTTGGGGCTTCTCTGGGACTTGGTTGGTTGTTAATGGAGGCGAATCATTAAACAAATCCTCAATTCGAGTAGCAGTCTGGGTATTCTTCTCAGCAGCTTTTGGTGGATCGGTTTTGTCAGTTGCGGAAGCTTCTCCAGCAGCTGCAAATTATTATGTGTCAAAATCAATGGCAATAATAAAATGCTGCAACAATAACTCTCAATTCCCAGGTGGTTGGCACTTGGTAGAAAGCATGTTAACAAGATAATAAACATAAAATTCAAGATGATGCCAATAAACAAAAAATTACGGGGAATTTTAGACCATACACTGGAAACCAGCCCAATTATGATCATCACTAGAAGCAGCCCCAGAACCATTTTCACTTGGACCATCATCCATGGAAAGCATGTTGAAAAGGTCTGTAGCATAATCAAATTTAGGGGGCGTGACAGTGGAAGCAGTCACTACAGCAGGCTTTGTTGCCTCAGCTGGTGCAACAACCGGTTCTGTTTTCTGAACAACAGATTCAGGCTTCTTGATGGGCTTAACCTATTAGATCAGCACAAGAATATGAAAGTAAATTTTTTTGAGAACATATAAATAAGAGAGTAAATTACTAGAAAGAAATATGATACAAAGAGAAGCAAGAAAGCAGGTTGAACCATGCATGAAACAATTATAAGACCTTAGTTCTAATTGATCCTATTTATTTGCAACTTTAAAGAGTGACAAGCCACCTTTTCTTTTAGCATTTTCCTCATTCTTTTTCATTATAATGCTAATAGCTCTCAGGTTATTCACATAAAACACATTAAGAAGAAAAACGAATAACTGTGGTTTTCTAGAAGAGCAAAACACATTAAGAAGAAAAATGAATGACTGTGGTTTTCTAGAAGAGTTAAAAACAAAAGCACATAACCAGCAAAAGAACGTAATACCTGATCAGATCCCTTTGGAGGGGCAGGAAGACTAACTCTTGTTGCAGGAAGATTTTCTTTTCTGCTAGATGCTTGAATGTTCCTCCTTTCCTCAAATGAATTCTCAGAATTACTAATGTGCCCATGGCCGCTTTTTTCTGTAGGTCTCTGCCAACGTGAAGGAGCCCTTTCATCCAACCCTCTAGGCGGTGATTTGGATTTTCCATCTCTAGAAACCCATCTCTTTTCCTCATACCTAAAAGAATATACAACAAGAAGCAGAATAATACAAAAAGCTCTACACTAAAACTAAATACTATAAAAAAAAAAGAAAAAAACAGGGGTTTTCCAGAAAACTCTGTAAGACATACTTCGCACGGATGAAGTTCTCAATTCCAACTCTGTCATAATTAGGGGGCAAGTCAGCTTCCCAGTAACTGTTTGCCTTCTCATTTCCCATTGCTGTATAATAAGACAAGTCATTATCATATTAGTAGGCTCTTCTCCATCTTAACATAAAACCACTATCAATCAGAATAATACAAATTCATGAGCTAACAAAAAAGCTTACATTGAATAAAAGCAACCTGCTCAGGAAGCCATGTGTCCAGGGTAGCAGATCGAACCTGCAGCAAGAGCCAGTAAGATGCACACATGAACTAGGGAAAAATAAACTGTATTCCACTAATCATAAAAGAACATTTTAACAAGAAATGGGTAACATTTTAGAAGAGAAAATACGTTCAAGAACTATCAGGTAAAAGTTTTCTTTAGGATAACTGTTTGCATTCGGGACACTTTGGATGACTGCAGGCTCACCTAGATACATTGCAGGAAAAAGATAAATGAAAAAATAGGTAGCGTTCCCAAGTCTCAACATCTGAGTAAACCAAATCTGTACCAATATTTTAGTTTGTTACGACAAAAAACAGTTTGTCACTTCAACCAGTAATTCCTAACCTCTATAAATAAAAAATTGAACATAAGAAAATATGTCCGGGGCAACAAATTTTGTTTCCAAGAATGTAACGGCACAAATCCAATCACTTGTGACAAACCAAAATGTATATGTGAATGAAGTACAGAAGTTGAGACAGTGTCAGCAATTCAATAATTTTCTGAGTCAGGAAGCATTCCAGAGATAGGAAAATCACCTTTGATATGTGTACCCCAAGACTTCTGTGGATCCCAGAACATTGCATGCATATAAAGATACCTAAATTCACACTTGCCCATCTTGGACCTCTGCAGAGAAATGAGGCAATTATTAGCACCTATGATAAGAATGAATTATATCACCACCAATTGATGACAAAAATCTACAGAAAGGTTCTATTGCATTAAGACAATTTCTATTTTAGGTACTCAGTTATTTGCTATTATGATATTCACATCATCTCTCTAGCTTTTTCTTGTTACATACTTGGATTTGCAGTCAGCACATTCCCTATTCTCTGGCAATTTAAGAAGACCTTCAATAATCTGCACGAATGAGGTGAAAGAATGAAACAATAAGAACTTTATTCCAGATAACATATTGGCCGAACATCAAATATACAATAACCAAAATCATTGATTGAATGAGTCTATCATATCGTACACATACAAGAACCCAAAAATTTGCGAGAACATATAAATATACAAAGAAGATAAAGGAATTTAACACCTTCCACAACCTAATTCGTATGCATTGATGCCACAGACGAAGATTGTGTAAAATTGCTCTTACGGTCCAAAAATCAACCTTACAAAAGTTTTTCCTATGTGAATAAATCAATCTCAACCAGCAGCAAACATCACTACCGTCAATCCGCAAACTTGACAAAGATATTAAAAAGGAAAAGTATAATTAGGCAAAAAAAGCCCAAACCTCATAAGCAAAATGATTGAGGAAAACCGAGTTTAGATCTCCTTTAAAATGCAATTTTTAGCGGAGGAAATTCAATTAATCTCAATGAATTTACTTTCATCTATCTAAACCGATCTTAATCTGATAACAATATTAACATAATCACCATTCATTCATGTTAAAAAAATGCCTTAAATCAGCTCATATTCGCTATACAAGATTCAATTCGATCAAATCCCTTAAAAAAAAGTTTAAATCAAAATTAGGTGAAAACAACAAAACTTGATTTAACAAACACAGATCAAATCAATACAATGTTAAAATTCAAGGAAGCCATGAAAAAGAGATAAAAATCGGAATTGAATAAAACAGGGTGAAAAAAGTAAATTTAAGATCACCTTTCGGTGTCTCGCATTGAGCTCCTTGGAAACGTTGGCCTTCTCGTTCATGTTTGAGAAACGAAAAGAAAAATCTACGGCGAGAGAGAGACTAAGATGGTGACGATGACGCAAAAGAAGAAGAAGAAGAAGAAAGGGTAATTTCAAAAAAAAGCCAAGGACAATTTAGTCTTTTTACGCCTCTCCTCCTTTCTCTCTTCTTTCCTCCACTCTCTCTCCTTCCGTTCTTTCTTTCTCTCTGATTTTTATGCGACTCGAAAGTAAAGAAGAGAAATAAAAAGAAATAGAAAAGAGGAGAGAGAGAGAGAGAGAGAGAAAAAAAAGAATTGAAAAAAATTAACTCTCCGCTGCTTGACTTTTTAATTAATTAATTATTTATTCGGGGAATTTTCGGTTTCGGTTTGGATTTTCAGCTGCCCATATGTTCTCTCCCTTATTCACACGCGTGTGAACATTTGTTGGTTGGCGGAGTGCCGGAGTTTAACCTTTACGGTTACCTCACACGTGTGAACGGTTTTAATCACCTGAGGTCAATTGTGCCTGAGTTCTGTCATTTCTGAATCCATGATGGAATTGTGTGAAAACACGTGGCATCCTTTTTTTTTATGGTGGAGCATTTTTGCCTTTCTCTTGCTTTAAAAAATTATTGGACAATATTTGTTTTGATTTGTTTTACCTTTTAAAAATAGGTAAGGTTTGTTTTGATTTCTTTTAGTATTATTTTAGAAAACTTCTTTCACATTTAGTATGTGTTATTAAATAGATTTACCATTTTAAGTGTGATCATTTTGGCAATAATTAGGTTTATGATAATTTTGGAATAACTTTAAAATGTTATATACTAAATTTTTAGATTTTAGGATAATCCAATTTAAAAATATTTTTAGTATCAAAATGATAGGATTGTAAACGAATCTAATACAAATGAATGAATGTATGTTTGTGATTTTTTTTTTAAGTATTTGGGTTTAATTCGTATTCAGTAAGAAAATTATTATGTTTGTTCAACTCAATTCTTTTAACTGATGGGATATTCACGTTTAGTTTGTATTCAAGTAGATTAAATTAAATGAACTCATTCGTTAACATTAAAAAAAATATGTTCATAAACTTATATAAATAAATATGTTTATAAATACCACAACCAAACAAATTTAAAAAAAAAAAAAAACTCTAAACGAATATAAACAAATTCAAAAGAAAATAAACAAATCTTACAAAAAAATTAGAGTAAACAAATAATAAACAAATAAATTTTAAACTAATCTTAAATGAATTTGTTCGTAAATATAAATGAATGAAATAGATTTTTGTTCGTATTCTATTCATTTAATAAATAAATATAAAAATATTATTCAAAATTATTTGTTAAATTTAATAAACGAATAAAAATCAAATATATTCACAAACGATTTATCATAAGATCTATTTATTTACACCCTTACAAAATAGCAGTAAAATATTTTAAGTAACTTGTGCTTATTAATTCAAGTGATGGATGAAATTTAAGTAGAGATTACTCTATTTGAAGATTTGAATCACATTACTTATTTTTAAAGTCCGATGTATCAAGTTATTATTTTGGCATTTAAAGTTTAGGCAAGGTGAAGTTATGCCATTCTTGGGTAAGGCATGTTGTAGGAGTCAATCAAAATTGCAGTTGGACAACAGCAAGAATATAATTTAAGGCTTACAACTAAAGTATTCATATTTGCCAACTCAACCAACCTAATATAAATTAATATTTTTAGATTTGTAGTTACTACTATATAATTGGATTAATAATTGTTCACATATTAATATGGTTCAATTAGATTTTTTTAATAATCCAAAACAAAAATAAATGAATCATAGCCAATTTAAGGAAAACATAACATAAAATCAAATTAATTAAATTAAAGATCGATGTGTTTAAATTTTTTTTAATATTATTCGACAAACACTATACGTTAATAATTTCAATTGATTTTGATATTATATAAGAAATACTAAAAAAAATTTTAGTAGAAAACGGAGTAGTAAATAAAATTAATACACTAGCATATATAACTATGGGTTAGGTTGGGTTGTTAGATTAGGAACTAAAAGTTTTGGAAAATTACTTGATTCTATGAAGATGGTAGGCTTTGGTGTTCTCTAATTATGAAGTTGTAAAATATTCCCAAAGGACCATAAATTTATTTGAAAGAAAGTGAAGGTATTGAAGTTGGTCTCCAAATTATAGAAGTCAACTATTTCCACATTTTATTTTTGTAAGTATGCATTTGAAAAAAAAAAAAATCACAGTTCAATTGAGTTGTCTTAATTGATAAATTATACATTATCTTTTCCCTTTTAAAAAAAAAATATATAAAAAATACAATCTTTTGTTTTTTAATTTTTAATTTATTTTTAATCTCTATCTATTTAAATCATCTGACGAAATGTTAAACTTATATTTTTTTGAATCGTAATATTTAAAAGTCTAATTAATAGATATGTCATTAAAATTAACACTCAATTAATATATTTTTTTATAATACTTTTATTTTAATTTTGTAAACCTTTGAATTTAGAAGAATATATTATGCACCTAAATTTTTTTCAACTTCTACTCTTAAAAAATCATAGAATTAATAATTATTTGAAACCATTGTTTATTTGTTAATAACATTAACATTAATATCATTTCTTTCTAACATGGTTCAAACTAATCGTTTGCTCATAATGGATTCCTTTGGATAATTGCTTCCATTTGTATATTTGTCTTTGCATTTGACCTTAATTGCATTAATTGCATGGGCTTTTTTTTCTTTTTCTTTTTCTTCTCATTTTGTGATTGAAATTTTAAAGATAATTTACTTTGATTTAAAAAAATAAATAAAATTTTATGTTACTGTAAAATCTTTATAATTTCAATAAAAAATAGCTCTATAAAAAAATTTTCAATTGGTCGATTTTTTTAACACCCAATGGAGTTATTACATCTCATAAATAAATACAAATTTACATCTCTCCTAAATTATTTATTTTTATGGAATTATCCGATATAATTAGGCCTATAATTCCATAAAACGCCGCGTTCTGTTTATTCGGCGTACGCTATTTCACCGAATAACTCTTTCAGCCTCCCTAAAGCTGCCTCTTTTGAGACAACCTCTCTGACCGTAAGTCCCCCTTTCTCTCTCTGTTTTCTTTTTAAAGTTTCAATTTTTTTTTCTGTTTGACGTAATTTCAACTCTATTTGGATAATAAAATGAAAAAAATTTAATTATTCATTCCATGAAGAACGTATTATCAAGTATTATACATGAATTTGGAGTTTTATTTTCCCAGAAAATTTTCATTTATTTATATTTGATATAAAGGAGAAATCATAATTGGGCATCTATGTAATTGGGTGCTTTTAAGTTTTTTTTTTGGTTGGTTTTGTTTCTGTTTTTCTTTTTTTTAAAAAAGAATTTTCAATTATTATTGTAAGAATGACCAGAAGAACATTTAGCAGTATAATTCACATAAACTAATTACTTTCAATATTTTCCTTGATTTTCAAAGGGAATTGGAATTTTATGTTATAACCCCATTTTGATTTTTTTATGCTTATTGGCTGTTTGGTTTGTTTGTTTTTTTTTTGTTTAGTTCTTGTATGTCATGTGAAGTTTGGAACAATTCAAGAGAAGTGGTGTTGTTATTGATCAAACTATGGAGGAAAGTGGGAGTACTCAACCTAGAGTTCAACGGAAGCAAATGGGGTATGAAGAAAAAACCGCAGCGGTTCATGAAGAAATGAAAAGAATGAACCGGCTTCCTGCGACCAGTACTTATGTTACTCATCGCTTGCGAGTTCTTAATAAAATTCTTCAACTTTTGTCAATTCAGGTAGTCAAAATATTTCTCGCTTGATTTATTCTTGTATCGATGCTTAAAAGTTCGAGTTGGCTTGGGAAGTTGCATAAGAGTTTATTAGAGGGATTTGATGCTTATTGCCTTTTTGTTTATGCTAGAGAACTGCTTCACAAGAAGAGGAGTTGGAGTTGTTATTTGCTGGATTGTCTCTATGAACTGGCTTGTCTAGACAATGGTAAAGTTTTGAACTCGATACTTTATGTTGTAAGATGATTAGTACTATAGCTTATGGAGAATTTCAGCTGGGATTGAAATAAACGCCCAATTTACCTGCATAGTTTGATGCTCATTACATCTTATAATGCAGCATACTTGATGAAATTCTAGTTATATGCATTGTAACTTGTCGTAAGCTACCAATCAACCCTTAGGGCATTATGGTGAACTAATACTTATGCCATGCATTTTGTTCCTGCTTTGATCTGTGAAATTCCTGTTAATTTCTGTCTGAAACTGTTAAATATTTCTTTGCAGGTTCATAAACATCATGGCAAAGTGTCAAACCAAGGATCTCTGTCTCTGGACAACTTTTTCCAAGTGTTTTATACTGTATAAAGTAGAATTCATCTCTGATAATGTGATGTTTAATGCTTTGTGTATGTCTTATATTTATCTGATCGCATGCTTTTTGGTATGTTTGGCTGGAGAAGGGGCTTTATTTGTCTAGTTTTTGTGAAGTAACCATCTGGACAAACCAGAAACCTTATGCATGTGTTATATAATAATGATATCGGAAATCCTTGTTCTTAGGATTGTGTTTGTGTCATCATTTTCATATTAGTTAATTACTTCAGATACTATGTTCATATGTTGAGCCAGGAAGATTTTAGGCTCTTTATTGTTGGAATTTTCTTCTTTAGGCTGGACTAGAACTCTGGTGTGGTGAGGAAAAGGTTCTGCCTTGTCAGGACACCGGTGTTTCTATATGTTGTATAAATGCTTCGATGAGAAGGCCAATTCCAGAAAGGTTCCCCTACCATTGTTTTTCTTCTGTTTCTTGAAATATGAGTTGAATGTGAATCAGAATCGAAATCAATGTATACATGAATTGTCATGTCTAAAAAGAGTTTAACACACTCACCATTTGAATGTGGAAGAAGCATGGAATTGATTGTTTTTTGACTTGGTGTTTTCACTTGTCTCACGCTTGGATTGAGGAAAAGGAAAGTGAAAAAAAAAAAAAAGGAAATTTTTTGTTTAAAAAAATAAATTAAATAAAAGAAAGTGAGGAAAACTGAATAATTGTTTTATGAATTTGTACATTATGAATAATTGTTTCGTAAAATAATTTTAACTAAAAAAATCTTATTATTTGTTCGGACTTATTATCAATTTTAA